AGAAGGAGCGAAGAGGGGGGGCGGTTGATTGGAGGCAGAGAGAGGGAGAGAGAGAGAGAGAGACACAAAAAAACAGAAACAGATAATACACATAGAGAAAGAAAGAGAGAGAGAGAGAGAGAGGGGGGGGGAGAGAGAGAGAGAGAGAGAGAGAGAGAGAGAGAGAGACAAAAAAGAAAGAACGAGGGAGGGAGGAGGCAGGAAAGGGGAGGGAGAAGGGAGAGGAGGGAGAGGGGATAGGGCAGAGAGGCATAAGGATGAGGGAAGAGAGGATGGAGAGGGAAGGGAGGAGAGGAGGGAGGAGGGAGGAGGGAGGAGGGAGGAGGGAGGAGGAGCAGGAAGTTAAGAGCGTGAACGTTCGAGGAAGTCCTAGGCAAAAACGCCGTTCCTGAAGGAAGTCTCGGGCGGGAGCCCACGACGAGCGGGCGATCCCCTGACGGGCGGGTCGGGCGGGTGGGACATTCAAGCGGGATGCCGGAGTATGGCGAGAGCGCGATTACTAAGTAAATTGTAGCGGCGTCCTTGGCGCAGCGTGTTTCCTGAGCGTCGAAAGCGCGATTTCTGAGTCCATCGCACGGAAGTCACAGGCGAGAGCGAAATTTCTGAATAAAATGTGAAGGGTTCTCTGGCGGGAGCGGGGGCCTGGATCAAATGGCGAGGACGTCTTGATTGAATTGCGAGGAAGTCTCAAGCGGGAGCGCCGTTCCTGAGTAAATTGTGAGGAAGTCTCAGATGGGAACGGGGGTCCTGACTAAATTGAGAGGGAGTCACAGACAGGAGCACTGATCCTGAGTAAATTGTAAGAAAATCTGAAGCGCGGGGGTCCTGAGCAAATTTGGAAGAAGTCTCAGGCGGGAGCCCATGTTGTTGTAATTCGGGGGGCTAGGGGCACAGTTTGAGCACCAAGGCTTTCCCTGTCAAGCTGCAGGGTGCGAGCGTCGAGGGACACATTTTGATTGAGAAAACACCGCATGCACCGATGAGGGGGATCAGCAACACATATTCGTCAGAAATATGAATTCAACAACAACAGCAGCAGCAGCAGCAACAACAACAATAGCAACAACAACGACATCACCAGCAACAGCAACAGCAGCAGCAACAACAACAAGCACATCAGCAACAAAAGACAACAATAATTATGCGAACGGAGTTCCCACACATACAGATACGAACGGCTTCGTGGGACCTATGGGGTACGAGAACATCAACACGAAGGAAAAGCTCATCGAACGAGCAAGTATACACGAAAGGGCAAACGAAAGAAAAAAAGGAAGGACAGGTGCTCAGGAAACGCAGCCTTGTATATAGTACGGCTTCTTGATACCCTCCTCGCTCTGGCGGGGCCCCGCTGGACGGGGGGAGGGCTACGAAACCTAGTAAAGAGTAGTGTTTTCCGCGACCCTCCTCGTTCAAACGCGGCCTCTCTGGAGGCTTGGAGGGGGGACACGAAACCGTGTAAACTGCATTGTTTTCCGATGCCCTCCTGGAGGAGGAGGAGGAGGAGGAAGAAGAGGATAAGATGGCTGATGGTGAAGAGCAGCAGCAGGAACCGCAGCAGGAGCAGCAGCGGGAGGATGACCAGGAGTATGAACATGAGAAGGAGGAGGGTCGGGCGGGCGGGTGAGTCGCCCAGGCGTCCAAGGTCCGATTCGTAAAGTTGGTTTGGGTGGACTCTTTTTCCTCGTCCTTCCTCCTCCTCCCACTCCTCCTCCTCCTCCTCCTCCTCCTCCTCCTCCTCCTCCTCCTCCTCTGTCTTCGCCCTCGTCGGTGTCGTAGTCGTCGTCGGCAGCGTCGGCGTCGCCGTCTTTCTCAGGCGGGCCCTAAAAGGCGGGCCCTGAAGTATGGATTACCATCGACTTGGCACGCATGTGCCCCTCCTCCTCCTCGTCCACCACCCCCTTCTCTTCCTCTGCTTCTTCTTCCTCTACCTCTCCTTTCTCCTCCCCGTCCTCCTCCTCCCGCGAAATCCTGAGAAGGAGTGACCGGGGAAGGCTTAGGAAGGGCACGAAACCATGTAAAAAGTATAGGTTTCCGATACCCTCCTCGCTCAGGCGGGGCCTCCCTGGAGGGATGGGAAGGGGCACGAAACCATGAAAATTATATTGGTTTCCGATACCCTCCTCGATCAGGCGGGGCCTCTCTGGAGGGGTGGGAGGAGCACGAAACCATGTAAATAGTATAGGTTTCCGATACCCTCCTCGCTCAGACGGGGCCTCACTGGAGGGGTGGAAGGGGCACGAAACCATGTAAATAGTACGGGTTTCCGATACCCTCCTCGCTCAGGCGGGGCCTCCCTGGAGGGGTGGGAGGGGCAGGAAACCATGTAAATAGTATGGGTTTCCGGTACCCTCCTCGCTCAGACGGGGCCTCCCTGGAGGGGTGGGAAGGGGTACGAAACTATGTAAATAGTATGGGTTTCCGATACCCTCCTCGCTCAGGCGGGGCCTCCCTGGAGAGGTGGGAAGGGCACGAAACCATTAGGAGGCGGGAGGCGGGAGGGAGAAGGAGAGGATGTTCTGGGAAAACAAGAACCCCACTCAGGATGTGGGGAAGTAGTATGGGTTTCCGATAACCTCCTCGCTCAGGCGGGGCCTCCCTGGAGGGGTGGAAGGGGCACGAAACCATAGAAATAGTACGGGTTTCCGATACCCTCCTCGCTCAGGCGGGGCCTCCCTGGAGGGATGGGAGGGGCACGAAACCATGAAAATTATATTGGTTTCCGATACCCTCCTCGATCAGGCGGGGCCTCTCTGGAGGGGTGGGAGGGGCACGAAACCATGTAAATAGTACGGGTTTCCGGTACCCTCCTCGCTCAGGCGGGGCCTCCCTGGAGGGGTGGGAAGGGCACGAAACCATGTAAATAGTATGGGTTTTCGATACCCTCCTCGCTCAGGCGGGGCCTCCCTGGAGAGATGGGAAGGGCACGAAACCATGTAAATAGTATGGGTTTCCGATACCCTCCTCGCTCAGGCGGGGCCTCCCTGGAGAGGTGGGAAGGGCACGAAACCATGTAAATAGTATGGTTTTCCGATACCCTCCTCGCTCAGGCGGGGCCTCCCTGGAGAGGTGGGAAGGGCACGAAACCATGTAAATAGTACTATTTTCGGATACCCTCCTCGCTGAGGTGGGGCCTCCCTGGAGGGGTGGAAATGGTATTGATATGGGAGGCGGGAGGGAGAAGGAGAGGATGTTCTGGGAAAACAAGAACACACCTGGGGATGTGGGGAACAACAGCAGCAGCAGCAGCAGCAGCAGCAGCAACAGCAACAACAACAACACTAACACCAACACAAAACAACAACAGCAACAACAACAGCAACAACAACAACGCAACAAACAGAATTCTCACCACGAATTCCCTACTCAGCCGTGCACCCTAGGACAATGAATGACCGTTCGGCCCCCTCTCTCTGATAGATAAGACAGTTCAGGAGAGGCCTCAAGAGTCGCGCAGAGTGCCAAAATCCGATTGGGGTCTTGTTGGAGCCCTAGTATGATCTTGGTGGGATTGCGGGCGGGGGGGCCAGATCCAGGCGCACCAGCCGAGTGAGGGGGAGGGAGGCGCTGTGGGCCTCTCAAGGCCCCGGCCAGCGGGGACCCTGATGAGCCAGCACGTCGGCGCGACCGAGGCAGATGCCACAATGGCGACTTCGCCCTCCCCCGCCGGGGCACCCTTCTTGCATTCCAGGAACTGGGCGCTCCTCCTCCTCCTTGTCCTCCCTCTCCTCCTCCTCCTCCTCCTCCTCCTCCTCCTCCTCCTCCTCCTCCTCCTCCTCCTCCTCCTCCTCCTCCTCCTCCTCCTCCTTGCAGGGTCCCCGCCGTGGGCCGACACCACCGCCACCAAAGGCGTGCGGTCCGCCCTCCCCCGCCGGACCTGGCAATTGCCCCCGCTTCCCGGGCCCCGCGGACCCGGCCTCCCGACTGCCAGGGAGGCCCCCGAGGCCTCCTGAGCAGCGCTCCAGGAGGCAGGAGGGGAGGAAACACACAGACACAATTGATCGTCGACTCCCCAGAACATATGGAAAACTATGGGAAGTGGTGGGGAGAACAAAAGCCCAGAAGGTGTAGGAAAATATGGGGAATCTGTTTATTTGTGTGTATTTATTTGTGTGTGTCCCAGGGCCCCGTCAAGGAGGCCCAGGGGTCCCCCTGGGGCTCCAGAGTGGCACGGGGGCCTCGGGCAACCTCCGGCCCGTGAGCCCCGCACCACAGGGCCACCGCGGCGAGGGGCCGCTCCGAAGCGCAGCTGCAGGGGGTCGGGGGGGGGGGCATCGGCGAGGCATCGCCGAGAGATCGACGAGCGGTCCCCGATGCCGAAACAACACGCGTCTGGGCAGGGAGGGGTCCCCAGGCCTGGATCGGCGAAGAGTGGGCGATTGGGGGCCCATGGTTGCCCACCTGACTGCGGGCGGCGAAACTATGCGTCCGCGGCCTCCCGAAAACCTAGGGCGCGACCCCGCGGATACGCCGCATTTTTTCGCGGGTGCCCCGCGCGGAACGTATCCGAACGACCGCGCATCCGCGGGATCGCGCCCCAGCAGAATCCAAACCGCGAGGGCGCGGTGTGGGGAAGCCGGGGGCAGAATCCCGAGGCGAACCCAGCAGTGGCGACGAGAGGTCCCCCCCAGAGGCCCACACAGGTATCGGGAATGGACAGACCCCCTTTAGTAAAACGTGGTTTAGTGAAAACGACCTGAGGCCCAAACCTGGCGGGCGCAAGCCTGGAACATAACGGCCACGGCGCCATCTCGAGAACCGAAAACGGACAATTCACTCCTCGACGTGCCACTGTTGGGGCTTCGGTCCACCCCCGAAGGCATCAGAACGAGGCAGGGCAGGGGCAGCGGCACGGGCACCGCCTCCTCCGCCAGGCCGCGAGCGCGAGGTGGAGGCCTTGCGCCCTCCGACGCGCGGGCCCCGCACCGTTTTGGACGCCGCGCCCGCGCGCGCCGCCGCTCCCGCGCGCGCCGCCGCCGCCGCAGCGCTCCCGCGCGCGGCCGCCCCGCGCGCGCCTCACAGGAACGCCCCGCCGCCGCGCCCGCTGCCCGCGCGGCCGGGCTGCCTGGCGAAGGGCGCCGCTCGGGCGGGCGGCAGACGGCGGCGGCGGGGGGCGGCGGCGCCGGCGACGACGGCGGCCGGCGCCGACGACGGCGGATCGGACGCCAGGATGCAGAACAACGCCACGCGATCGATTTGGCCGTCTCGGAGCATCAGGGCATCGAAACGGAGGCCGAACGAGCCGGTCAGAACCGATCTCGAGTCGGATCGGTCGGATCGCAAAGGACCCTGGCGGAACGCCGGCGACGGCGGCCCCGGAGATCCCGGCGTCGAGATCCCGGTAGCGGGCCCTGCAGGGGGCCCTGCAGCGGGCCGAGGTGGCTCGGAAAGCGGCGCAGGAAGGTGGGGCCCAGGGCTCTGGTCGTGATTTTGTGCGATGCCTCAATGGTTTCGCGACGTCGGATGTCAGGGGGCTGCGGCGGCGACGACGGCGGCGGGGCGGCGGCGGCAACGGGGGGCGGAGGCAGAGCACAATGACATTGGGAAGAGAGGGATCCAGAAGGGCATGGGGACAGGCAAGCCCCTGAGGATGGAGAGGCCACTGGGAGGGGGACAGGGCCAGGTTGGGACCCGGCCGTGCAGATCAGGGTTGGAGAGGGAGACAGGATGGGGACGGGGACGGAGGTGCGGGCCAGCACGGGGATCAGGACAGGAGGATATGGGTGCCCGCACGGGAGAGGTCTAAGAGAAGTCGGATGATCGCCGCGGCAAAAGGCACGAGGACACTCAGAGAGGGCAGAGGAGGAGCGGGGAGGGAGCGAGAGAGAGAGAGGGAAGGGACGAAGACTGGCAGAAGCGAGAGGGAAGGGATGGAAGGGAGGGGAGAGAGAGGGAAGGGGGGTGGAAGAGATGGAGATGGAGATGGAAGGGGGGGCATACAACGGGACACCACCACCCGAGACAGCACACGCGGGCGCGGAGCAGCGCTCGGGGGCGGGCCGCTGGGCAGCTCTTTGGGTCGCGGCCACCTCCACCACACGCGCGCGGTCGCCATTCCCCCTCATCCCTCCTCGTCCTCTTCCTCCTCATTCCCCCTCCTCCTTCACCTCTTCCTCCTCCTCCTGCTTCCTCCTCCGCTCCATCCTGTCTCCTGCCTCCTGTCTTCCTCCTCCTCCTCCTCCTCGTCCTGCCTTGTCATCCTCCTCCTCTCCATCCTGCCTCCTGCCTCCTCCTCCTCCCTCCTCATCCTGTCACCTCGTCCCCTCTCCGTCCTCTCGAGCGCATGCGGCCAGCCTCTCGGGCCGCGGGCCCGAGCGGCAAACAGGGCGAGCGCTCCATGACAGAACTGCAGCAGTCCGACGGCCTCCGCAGGACATCACCCCGAGGAAAACGCGGCGCGCTCGCGTCGCAGTGCCGTGGGCGTCGGTTTCCGACGCCGCGTGAACCGTTCCGAAGTGAACGTTCGCCACAGTCCGACAGCTACTGCCGTTCGCTGCTAGCCCGATTCGGGCAGCTCTTCGGGGTTCGCCCCTGAACGCCCGCGGCGACGTCGCATCAGCTGACCGCACTGTCCAACCGCAGTCGAGTCAGATCTTCGTCGTGCTCTTCTGCATCGCGGCCCCCGCGCTCCCGTTCCCGCTCTCCCGAGCCCGCGCTCGTTCGCCTCCACCCCACCTCCTCCTCCTCCTCCTCCTCCTCCTCCTCCTCCTCCCCCTCCTCCTCCTGGTGATGTTCCTCCTCCTTGTTTCCCCGCTCTACTAAACTGCCTGCGTATCTCGTGACGAAAGGTTATTCGGCCTTGTATACGTTTCGCTTGAACCCCCCTCGCGACGTCTGACCCTGATGTTTGACATCTCCCTGCAATGATGGAGGGCGGGCGCTTTTTGAGTGAGCTGCTCGCCGTGGCTCATGGCATCATGGTATGAGAAAAAAAGCACTGCTGGGTGTCACGCGGATGGATCGCCGGTCGGTTTTAGAGTCGCGGTGCAGAGCAAAGCGACCACACCTCGCAATGATCTCAGCCGACCAGCGCCGCTCCGTGCCCAGCGGCGCAAGCAGCGCAGCTCCCCCCCTTCCCTTGGAGGCGGCCGGGTCCGAACTGCCTGGGGCCCCGGACAAAAATCTGCCAGGTCCGCTCGAAGTCGGCCCTCGGCTCTGCTTCCCCAGACCCCCGACGTCGTGATTTTTTCACGACGTCGACCCCCCGAGGTCTGGACCCTTTCCCCGGGATCGGTTTTTCGTCCTGCAGTCGTTTTTTGACGGCCCCGAGGCCCGGCGGGGGCCCCCGGAGGCCGAAAACTGGGGAAAACCGCCCGTCGTGATGTTTTCATACCTCGAGGGGGTCTGGGCCAGCACCTCGAAAATAACGAAAAACCTCCCGTCGTGATTTCTTCACGACGCCAGGAGGGCTGGGTCTCACGCTCCATGGGGCCCGCGGGCGGCCCCTCGCGAGGCCGAGGAGAGAGCCGACCACCCCGCCGAGCCCAGCGCCGCGACAGTGGACACCCTAACAGCCCGATCATTGACTCTAAAATGTCGGAAACATGTTCTAAAGATGATTCGAACCTGTCTTCTACAGATTTGAAACATGATTGAAGCATCTTTAGACATCTGGAAATTATTTGGCAGCACGCTTCCGCTCCATTCGTCGACTTCCACAACCCTCGCCCTCCGTCTCGACCGGCGGAGGCGCCGCCAGCGATGCTGCGTAAGACGACGCGAAGACCGGGACAACATCGGATCGGGATAACTCGAAATCTCTGAGAACCGGCGGGTTTGGCGGATGTATTGGGCGCCGCGGCCGCTCCAGAGCGTTCCGGAACGCTCTGAGAGCGCTCCGGAACGCTCTGGAGCGATTTATCCCGATCCTAGCCCTGCCCGACCAGACTGAAGGGAAACTGGGACACACAAATAAATAATCACAAATCAAAATATTCCCCATATTTTCCTATATTTTCTGGGTTTTTGTCTTCCCCACCACTTCCCATATTTTCCCATATTTTCCTGGGGATCGACGATTAATTGTGTCTGTGTGTTTTTTCCCCTCCTGACAGACCCAGACCCCCTCGGGCAATGAAAAACATCACGACGGAGGGCCTCTTCTAATTTTCCGCCTCTGGGGGCCCTCGAGGTCTCTCGGGGCCGTCCGCAGACAACTCCGGGTCGACGCCGTGCAGAAAGAAACATTGCGTCGGGGGTCCGGGGAGGTCTCGACCCCTGCCCCAGGACCGGCCCCTCGCCCCGAGCCGTGTGCCAACGGGCCCCGAGCTGGGCGGGCCCCATCCCCCACCCTGGACGCCGAACAGATTTACCAGCCTGGGGCATATCCCTACCCCTATGCTGGGCACCTCCTCGTCACGATGCCAATCTTAGGGATCCCCCCTATGTTTTGGAGGGCGGACCCCTGAGATTGTCGTCGCCTTTTGGCGTGTCCATCTTAGGGGTAGGGATACGTTCGAGGCTGGTAACAGATGGCGAGAGCCCTCCCTTCGTGCGTGCTGCCGTGCCTCGAGGGGGCCCGGGCCGCCCTCGCCCTCCTCCTCGTCGGCCGGCGGGGGCGCCCCCGCCGCGAGCGCTCCGGCGGCCATCGGCTGCAGCGAGGCCGGCCGCAGCGGCAGCGAGGCGCCTGCGCGGTGCGCGCGGGCCGCGCCTCCGCGCTGTGGGCGGCGGGGCCCGTCCTCCTCCTCCTCCTCCTCCTCCTCCTCCTCCTCCTCCTATTCCGTTTTCCTCCTCCTCCTCCTCCTCCTCCTCCTTCTCCTTCTCCTCCTCCTCCTCCCCCACCTCCTCGTCGTCGTCCTCCTCCTCCTCCTCCTCCTCCTCCTCCCCTGCCTGGCGGAGGGCCCCCGCCTGAAAAAAAAACGCCGCGGGCGGCGTTACACATTTCGAACCACGGGAGTCTTCGCCGGGTTTTTTCGGGTCCCAGGGCCCCTCATGAGCTGTGCACAAGTCGACGCGGCTGGAAAGAGTCGCGCGGACCGCTGGGGTCTAGGGCTTCGGTCGTGTGTTGCTTTGAAGATGGTGCCTTCCTGTTCGCTGCGTCCTCGCGAGCGACGGTCGGGAATGTCGAGCGACGTCCATTCATTGTCGTTTTTCAAACACACTGATGACATATGCTCCTCATATGCAGATGTCTCTCTCCTTCATCTTGGACATGTTATCGGCCAGGCCCGTAGCGTAACGCCACCTCCTCCTCCTCCTCCTCCTCCTCAACTCTCCTCCTCATTCTCGTCGTCCTCTTGGTGTACTCACTCTCTCAACCGCTGAGATGTGCCGTTTGTTGAGCTCTTCCTCCTCGTCCTAGTCCTTGTCCTCGTCCTTATCCTCGTCCTCCTCCTCCTCCTCCTCCTCCTCCTCCTCCTCCTCCTCCTCATCCCCCCCTCCTTCTCTCTCTGCTCCACATCCCTCTCCTTCTCCAACTCCTCGTCCTCCTCCTCCTCCTCCTCCTCTTCTTCTTCTTCTTCTTCTTCTTCCTCCTCCTCCTCCTCTTCCTCCTCCTCCTCCTCCTCCTCCCTCCTCCCTCCTCCTCCTCCTCCTCCTCCTCCTCCTCCTCCTCCTCCTCGTCTTCCTCCTCCTCCTCCTCCCTCGTCGTCGTCGTTCGTCGTCGTCGTCGTCGTCTCGTCGTCGTCATCATCATCATCGTCCATCATCATCATCATCATCATCATCATCATCATCCATCATCATCATCATCATCATCATCATCATCATCATCATCATCATCATCATCATCATCATCATCATATCATCATCACATAATCATCATCATCATAATCATCATCATCATATCATTATCATCATCATCAATCATCATCATCATAATCAGCATCAGCATCATCATCAGAGCATCAGCATCATCATCGTCATCAAGCAATCATCATCATCATCATCATCATCATCTCATCTCTCATCATCATCATCATCATCACATGATCATCACCACCACCACCACCGAACCACCATCATCATCATCATCATCATCATCATCATCAGCAACAACAACAAAACAAAAGCAGCAGCAGCAGCAGCAGCAGCAGCAGCAGCGCATATCATCATCATCATCATCATCATTCACATCATCATCATCATCGTCGTCGTCGTCGTCGTCGTCATCATCATCATCATCATCATCATCAGCATCGTCGTCATCATCATCATCATCATCATCATCATCATCATCATCTCCATCATCACCATCATCATCATCATCATCATCATCATCATGATCATGATCATGATCATGATCATCATCATCATCATCATCATCATCATCATAGTCATAATCATAATCATCATCATTTTCCTCCTCCTTTTCCTCCTCCTCTCCCTCATCCTCATCTTCCTCCTCTTCCTCTTCCCGTTCGTCGACCTTGTCATCGCCCTCCTCCTCCTCCTCCTTTTCCACCTCTCCCTCTTCCTCCCCCTGCTGGCCGAAGTCGCGGCGCACCCACTGTGCAGGCTGGCTTCTGCTGGAGCTCGCGGTATGTGCGCATGGTGTCCGAGAAGCTCTCGTGGCAAGGCAGGTGCAGCCCGAACTGGGTCCTGGCGGCTGTGCGGCGGGGGGGGGAAGGCGAGGGGGGAGGCAGCTGGCAGCGTTCTGTGGCAACCCACGTGAGCTGTCCATACTATCTGACTGGCTCTTGCGAGCCAACACTAATCGACGCCAGTCGAAGCCAAATCGGCTCTCTCCTGTCGACTACCAGACGCTGATCAACTCCCGTGCACTCGAATGACGGAGTTACAAGGGCATACAGGCCACCGAAGCGGTGGCTTGCCGAAAGGGAGGGTCCCGCGGGCAGCTACGATAAAGAACTGCTGCTTGGCGTGTCGCGGCGGCGGCCCCGGCGACATGTGCTCCTCTGCAATAGCGCGTCGCTCCGCTCCGCGAGGCAGGAGGTCGGGACAAGCTCGGGACGCTGACGCTCGGGGACCACGAGAAGGGCAGCGTGTCGCGCCGCAGCGCTGTGGGCAGAATCGGCGGCGCGACACGCTCAACCAAAAGACCCCGACCGTAAGGCATGGGCATGGATGGACGGGAGGGCTCCCCTCCCTCCCTCCCTCCCCTCCCTCCCTCCCTCCCTCCTTCCCTCCCTCTCTCCCTCCCCGCCCCTCCCCTCCTCCCCCCGCGTCCCTCCGGAGCGTAGCGGGAGGGTGGGAGTGGAGGCGGCGGCGGGGGGGAGGGGGGGGAGGCGAGCCGAGCCGAGGGAGGGACGAGGTAGGGCGGGGGGTGAGCCAAGAGGGCGCCAAGCTGGCTCCCATCGCCCGTGCACCGGCCCAGACCCAGAGGCCGTACTCCTCCCCCTCCTCCTCCTCCTCCTCCTCCTCCTCCTCCTCCTATTCCGTCCTCCTCCTCCTCCTCCTCGTCCTCCTGAAGTATGAACCGTGGCAGCAATCACACCACACCACGGTAGGGAAAAAATTCGCCGCCCTCAACTCGCGCAGGTTGCAGCCTGCGGGCGGGAGGGCGGTGGGTGGGCCGAGACGGGATCTCCGAGGCGAAGCCTCCACACTCAGAACAGTACGTGACAGGAAGACCCGAATTCTCCAACCAAGAAGCCTGGAGGACATGATGGCGCCGAGGGGCAGGCATGACAGACTCCAGGGCGGGGTTGAGGCCAGTGCCTTCTAAAACTCAAAGGTTGTTGCCTAACCGCCTGAAGCTGATACTGCACCTCCTCCTGCCGAAAAGGAGAGAAGGGGACGTGAGGAACCTAGGCCTTGGGAAGTGGTTTCCTCGGGTCCACGCGGGACCGACCAACCTCCCCCAACTCCCCGAACGAGGGCCACTCCCAAAGTGAGTGCCCTGTCCCGTGACAAGAGGTGGTGTAAAGCTTGAGCACGGCTCTGAGTTCCTCACACTTCGCACTGCTGAAACTGTTGCTGCTAGCGGTTTGTCCAGCCTTATAGTCATCATAACGATTATCTCTATACATCACCTTGAGCTCGTTGCAAGGGGAGCTGGTCCTCCTCCTGATGATCCTCAACCTTGGAAATAGAAGGCGGAAGGCCAGGGTGGACCCGCGCGACTTCCCTCCAAGTATGAGCCTGGGGGTTGGCCCCCAACAGGGCTTTCTGGTGGTGCCCCAAAGCCTTGAACAACGTGGTGCGGTCACCATGAATTCCCCTAGACTGGCACTGGCCTTCACTGTGGCATACAGCAAGGACGATGGCAGCTTATTCGGCCGTGCCGCTCGACTGAAGCATACTCCCTGGCAAAAGTGCCCTGATGCCTCTGGCAAGGTTTCCTCTCTCATCCACATGGACCATGCGATCCCCCGAGCGGGAGAGGTGGCTGATCAGGGGAAGAGGCAGGACCCGCCAGAAACAAGAAACACACCAGCAAGGGAATTTGAAGGGCCGAAGAACGCGATATGCCTGTCCGAAGCAAGTGGCTTGCAAGATGTGCCCACGCGGTCCAGCCAGACTCTGCCAAACAGGAAACCCTCGGGCCCATCAGCCAGGGTTTGGTCGATCATGTCCGTTTGGGGGCACTTTCTCTCTGATAGAAGTGGCCTTGGCGCAACTGAATTTCCAAACGCGGTGCCATGCCGTGTCAGTTTTGCCACATCTGTCGCAGTTGCCAGAAGACTGGCAGCCCCACATCTGAAGGGCGACCCCCGTGGGCAGGGAGCCACAAAAGACACACTGGCGGAAACGTACCTTGTCGAGGCGGCTCCAGTCACCCGTAGACGAAGCGAGCACGTTACGCGTGATCTCCCACCAGAAGTCCCTGGACTCAAGATCCTTCAAATCGAAATCCGACTCGGTATAAATGGCACGGACTGCTGAGTCAAGGAAATCTGCCCAACAGCCGAGGGTGAGACTTCCGTAAGCTTCAGAGGAGCCCCAGAAGATACAGGATAATCCCAGCACGACTACATTCCCAGCCAGCTTCTTCAAGCCAAAGATGCGTCTCCAAGATGGGCCCTTTGGTTCTGAAATGCAAATTCGCCCCGTAATGGAAACGGCACGGGACAGAACAACAACGGGGATGGCCTCCCCGGAGTACGTGGTCGTCCATGTGCACCGCAGTGGCCACCCACCACTCTTGCGCAAGTCCCTGCATGGTCCTACAGCAATGTCGATCGGGTCAATGAACTCGTTGGGACTCCACCCATGGGTCGAGCTGTTCGCCCTTGAACACAATTCCCGCGTCCCTGCCAGCAGCTGCTCTGACTTGTGCGATCTGGTGGGGGCTGACAGCATGAACGTCAGCACCGCATATCGGGGAAGGCTTGGGTCTTAGGGTTAACCTGCGACAGCCTCCCTCTATGTCCACCTCAAAATTTCATTGTAACCATCCTTTTCCTCCGAACCTGCAACTTACTTCCCAATCTAAACCTCCTCTTCTGGTTCGCTCCGGAACTGAGCCTGCGAGCCTCCAAGGTGGTCCATCCCAAGATTGGTAACAGCTCCAATGTCCACGGACGGGCCTCCGCGAGCTCCGAGGGTCTGACGGGCAAGCTTGAGGAGGGGGTCCGAGGAGGCAGCCATCCCAAACTTCTTGCAGGCCATGGGGAGCTGGAGGTCAGAGGTGAGGCGCGTACGGACCATGGCGGCTAGACCCTCCATAGCGGCGACAACCCAGACCATGTTGTCACCCCATAGCTGAAGCGTCATATCATCAACGTGGAGGGATACGCTAGCGAAGTCAGACATGTTGGCCGAGGTCGCGTCAACACCCGGCTTCAACAAAACTCTTAGCCTCGTGCGTGGCCAGCGTGGACCCTGCCACGATGCCCCCCCGTTAGGGTGCCTTGTCTAGATGGCCGTCCAGCAGCATGCGCCTAGGCCATTGGTAACCCCTCCGAGAAAATGAGAACGGCGGGGTACTGGCAGTACTGGCCAGCCTTGATAGGGAGGGGAGGTCGTAGGAAGCACGTTCGCAGGACTGCTTGATATTCTAAAGAGCCTGCAAAGAAAAACACCTGTACCTTCCAGCTCAGCCCGGAGGCTCTGACTCCACGCGGCGTCGGCAGGGGACATCTTCGGAGCCATGGGAAACTGCCCATCGTGCCCGGGGTTGAGCTCCCACTCCCCTGCTTCTCCTGAGTTTCCCCGAGATCATGCCCGAGAGGTCTCTTAGCGGACGGCTCGGGCTTGTGGGCCAGGGCGGGGGCACAGGCCTGCGCCAGACGGACAGCATGCCACCCGCGTCATCTCCCCTCCTCTTTGGGAAGGCAGGGGGGCGGGCCGCGCCGCGTGTTTCTTGTCCATGCTCCCCGACCCCCCCCCCCCCCTGGAAGTGGAGGCCTCATTGAGGCCTTCGGGTTGGATTGGGGTGGTTTGGTGGGTGGTGACATACTGCACGGCTTCCCCCGGGCCGTAGGCGACCCGAGGAGAAGGAGGAGGAGGAGGAGGAGGAGGAGGAGGAGGAGGAGGAGGAGGAGGAGGAGAGGAGGAGGAGGAGGAGAGGGGAGGAGGAGGAGGGGGAGGAGGAGGAGGAGGAGGAGGAGGAGGAGGAGGAGGGTGGTGGCTCCACCACCACGTGGCGACGAGAGGAGGACCAGCTCTCCGCAAGGCACCGCGGGAGCTCCCCGCACCCGGCACGGCGCGAGCAGGCAGGTGCCCGCCGCGCGGCCGCGCGCCTCCGGCCTCGCCCCGCCGCGGGGCGCGGGGGCGGAGCCCGAGCAAGCCCCTGGGTGTGCCGTCCACCGCCCGCCCCCCCCCTCCCTCCTCCCCCTCCTCTCCCTCCTCCCTCCTCCTCCTCCTCTCCCTCCTCCTCCTCCCTCCTCCTCCTCCTCCTCCTCCTCCTCCTCCTCCACCAGCCTCGAGCTTATCCCTATCCCTAAGGTGGGCGAGCAAAAAGCGAGGACGATCTTGGGGATGGGCCCCCAGAAACGGAGGGGAGTCCTCAAGATCGGCATCGGGGCGAGGTGGTGCCAAGCATAGGGATAGGGATAGGTTTCAAACTGGGAAGTGTTACCGATCTCAACCACTCTTAGCTGGCGACGCGTTTCGGACTCCAGGTCCTCTTCTGGGCCAAAGGCTGCGGTGTCCCACGGCGGGAGGCCTCGTGCATGAGCAGGGACAGAAAAAAGGGGGCATTACGCAGGATGGCAGACCGACCTCACGCCGCCATTTTGCGCGGGCCGCCAGCGCGGCACGCCACGCTGAGAACAAGGGCGGTTACGCGCGACCTTGCGCGGGCTGCTTGCGCGCGAGTGCCCGCACAGTCGAGCCAGTTTTTGTGCGTCGCTCAGATAGGGTCGGAGTAGATGGGGTCGGAGGATCGCGCCGCATCGCCGTTGCATCGGCAACGCGGCTTGATGTGGAGCCCGACGTTCTCCACGCCGACGTCGCCGATGCATCGTAAACGTCGCCGATGCATCGGCGATGCATCGGCGATGCATGGGAAAGGCGGCGCGACCCGTTCTACTCCGACCCCATCAGGTAGGCCTGAAACAGCTGCCCAACCACAACCCACAGGTGGCACATCCAAGCGTGCGGGTTGGACAATACGGCCCAACGGGGGGAACGGGGACGGTTCCCATGGGCACACCTAGGGGTCCACCCCAACACGGGACTGGCCGACGACGAACATGCCAGCGACGGCGAGGGCGGAGGGGGGGAGGAGGCGAACCGCCACGGCACGACACCCAATATCGGGGAACCCAGGGGGGGGTGCCCCTGGCTCGAACGGGTGACCTGCGTGCCGGGCAGCCCCCTGGGGAAGGAGACCGCACGTTGGCGGCCGCCCCTGGGTGCAGGAATCCCAACCGCAGGTGGCACCCCGAAGCCCCCACGCTCCCCGCCTCCGTCAATCACGGGGGCCCTTTCAGCTCCGACACCCCCCTCCAGCGGGGGGCGCCCCTCCAGAGCCCCCTGATCTCTCCTCATCAGCCTTCCCCCGGCCCCCCCGCGCATACCGCTCTTTCCGCTCCAGCTTCTGCTGCTGCTGTCCGTCCTCGTCCCCCACATTCCTCCTGCTCATCCTCCTGCTCATCCGCCACCTCCTCCAGTGTACGCAATCCCTTGCCCGATGCGCATAACACGCAGTGCCCTCTTCGAAGCTCCAGGCCCACAACGGCACGCGTCGGCGGAGAGGGAGCAACCGGCGCCATGGGAAGGGACGGGTGGGATGGGCAGGGTGTCAGATGTGGCGCGTGCGCAGCTAGCCTGGCCCCTCCCCATCGTCTCCCTCACTTCCCCCTCCCCCCTCCCCCCTCCCCCCCCCCCCCGCGCGCCCGATGGGCGCTTCAGGGCCGCGGTCTTGAAGCTCTCGTCGAGCTCTGGTGACTGGAATGGGTCTCGACCCTCCCGTGAGCGAGGACACCAACGGCAGGGTCAAGGCAGAGTCTGCTGACCTTCCCCCCTCCCCCTCCTCGTCCCCCTCCCCTCCCCCTCCCCCTCCCCGCGCGCGGGTGCGTCTTGAGCGGCTTGCACTTGGTGCTGTGGGCCCAGGCCGCCGTCTGCTGCGCCAGCTCCAGGCCCACCCTCTCCGCGGGGGAGGGCGCGCGTGGGGGGAGGGGCGCAGGGAGCAGAGCAGTGGGAGGCGTGGTAGCATGAAGAGGAAGGCCAGAGAGGAAGAGCAGAAGGCCCAGGGCAAGTACGTAAGAGGAAACCAGAGAGGAGGAGTATAGGTGTTACAAACGAGGAGACAGAGATACAGATATAGAGGATGGGGATGTACACGGAGTCAGGGAGGAGAGAGAGAGGGAGAGAGAGAGAGAGATAGGAGAGAGAAAGAGAAGAAATATAGGAGAGAGAGAGAGAGAGAGAGAAACAAAGAGAGAGAGAGAGAGAGAGAAAGAGCGAGAGAAGAGAGAGAGGGAGAGAGAGTGAGAGAGCAATGAGCAAACATCTGTGCACATGCAGAACCAGAGAGGCAATACTCGTGGCAGACAATGGCGCACGAGCACGAGACCAATACTTTACACCTGGGTATGAGAGCATGTCTGCCACGTCCACTGGGAACGCCGCAGAAGCATACAAGAGATGGACGATGCGTACGAGCCCAGGCAGACCTTGAACACGGCGGCATACAGCGTGATCGCGTCGCGATGACGTCGGCATTGGCTTCTGGCACCGCATGGGCCGCCCGATCTTGGACGATCGCCGCCTTCCGACTGCGCAGGCCGTTCGATGGCTGCCGGCTCCAGGCCGCAGGCGGCGCTCACGCCCGCGCTGGGGACGCCGCCGCGTCGACGCGGCGCGAACTCGCCGTACCAGGAGAGTCCAGAATCGAATCGATCAACATCGGATTTGCGATTCAGATGACTCGGATCGGCGGAAACAGGCAGCCAGGCCGGGAGAAATCGTATCGGCGGAAATCGGCAGGCCAGTAATAAAGCCTCCACTGACCGACAGAAGTCCAAATCGGAATCCGAAGTCGAATCGAAACGGAATCGGGATCGATCGAAATCGAACCATATCGAATCGAAGGAGTCGGAATGAGCCCTAACGGCACCAAGACCCAGAGAAAACCGGTGGAGAGAGCGATGAAGCCACACCGCTCAAAATTGACTCCCAGACCCATGAGGGTCCATCTGGTGCAGCGTCCGACTCCGAATCCAGTCTACGGCCCTTGGAGGTTGCAAAAGTCAAAAACAACTTCCCGAGCCCAGCACCTCGAACACCTCCCCCTTCGAACCTGCGCATCTGTCCGCACACGCTCGGCGAGGGCTAGCGCGCCTTCGCTTGCTGAGCTCAGTGTAGCGGTCTACCAGACCGGACAGCGCCTCGGCATCCGCAGAGCAGCCGACCGCGCCCCTCCCATTGCACCGTGCCCCTGAATATCCTCCTCGCCCTCTCCTCCCTCTCTCCTTCCTCCTCCATCCTCCCTCATCCCTCCTTCCTCCTCCCCTTTCTCTCCATCCCCCCTCCTCTCTCCTCCACCATCCCTCCTCCCTCCCTCCCTCTCTCCCTCCCTCGCTCCCTCCCTCCCTCCCTCCCTCCTTCCCTCTTCCTCCCTCCCTCGTTCTCCCTCCTCCTCCTCCTCCTCCTCCTCCTCCTCCCTCCTCCTCCTCCTCTTCCTCCTCCTCCTCCTCCTCCTCCTCCTCCTCCTCCTCCTCCTCCTCCCTCCTCCCCCGGGGCTCCTGGAACCCTTTCAACCTCTGGCTGCCCCCAGACTGGGGAGCCTTAGTGGGACCTGGAAGCAACAAGGCCAATGTTCATCGGTCCCGTTTTGCAATTTTACTTCCAATTTTGGCGCCGTTTCTGGTTCCCGGTTCCGTCGCACTTTTTGTTTATTTTCCGATTATGGTTCCAACTCCGGAGCAGTTTTTGTTCCCGGTTCTGGAAGCAGTGCTCAAGTGCTCCAGGTATAGCATTGTCGAAACGACACACAAAAAACATGGCCGTTTCTAGAGCCGACTGAGATCCGAGTTCCCCCAGAACGTTTGAGCCACCCTGGCTGCGGGGGCCCACCAAAAGGGTGGACGAGGTGGGGCCGGGCGGAGAAGGGTGGGGGGTGCGAGGAGCGGGACGGCCAACCACATGGCCACTCTCCCGGACGGTTGGCTCATGTCGACGGGGCTAGTCTGACTGAACAGGGTCAACTCCTGGGCAGGCTCCGGCACTGGCAGTGACGTAGCTGCCGGCGCGGACTGTGGTGGCCACGCGGAGCTCGATCCATATGGTGTGCTGATGCCGAGGACTGAGACTGAAGGCGGGCAAGCCCAGCTCGGCGACTGCACGTCGGCAGACTGGGTTGGGAGCGCGGCAACACGTGCGTTGAGGCCGCCTATCCAGTCGCGCCCCTAGGGTTGTCTCAGTCAGACTTAGACTGCGCCGCCCAATTGTGTCCTCCACTGTGGTGTTGTTGTGTTGTTGGTGGTGGTGCCGCTGAAGCTGCTGGAGCTGCTGGTATTGCTGGTGCTCCTGAAGCTGGTGCGGCTGGTGCTCCTGTTGCTGGTGCTCCTGAAGCTGGTGCTCCTGAAGCTGCTGCCTGACGGCCCAGGGGCACAGTCACCAGAACAGTCGGCGCTGCAGACTCTTGCGCACGGCCGACAGGGTCGGCCACGCCCAGTCCATTCGTCGCAGTTCGGCTTCGTGTGGCGAGGACGAGGACGATGACGATGTCCCCCACCAAGATGACCAGTGGTTGTGGCCAATGGGTTGCCCCTAGCCGTCCGACGAAGAACTCGGAGTGGCTGCTGGTGTTCCCGTGGCCCCCTGCCACAGACCGAGGAGTTCCGGGGGTGCCCCTGGCCATCCAGACAGCGCGCGCTCCTGGCATGGGCTGCTGCTCGGACGGCCCCGGCGGCTCTGTCTGTCCCAGAACAGCAAGTACTAGGGATGATGGTGCTGATGGAGGTGCTGGGGCGTAGGCGTCGAAGAAGAGAGCGCGCCCTTGTCGGCGGCGCGGGGGGCAGTCGCGCGCGATGTGCTCCTCGGAGTCGCACTCGCGGCATTTGAGACGCACCCCGTCAGGGCCCGCGGGTTTGACTTGGCGGCCCGAACCCACGCCCGTGGCCCTACCCCCTTACCTTTGCCCTTCCCGCAGCCCGCGAAGGTTTCCGGGAGGTCGTTCTCGGACAGGGCGGCTAGGAAATCGCGGCAGCCTCTACCTCTGGCCTTGCCCTTCCGTTCGATGACCTCCGGACGTGGCGCGCGGGCGTGGTCGTTGAAAGTGCGCCGACGTGCTTTGAACCAATGGGGTGCTCGCGTGCCCAGACAATGTGCGCGCTGCGTTGTTCCACGGGAGTGTCGCGAAACTCGGGGTCGTCGGTGGTCTCAACGCCGAATGAGTTGGCGGCGTCGGCGTCGGTGCCTGAGTCGATCACTGCTGCTGGGCATGCCCACTGCAACAGTGGCGCCGCGCTAATGCCGCTGCCAGACACGACCTCGACTGGCGCAGGGGGGCTCGGCGCCGCTCCCAGCGCAGCGGGACCAATGCCGTCCCAGCTCTGCTCCTGTGCAGGCGCACCCGTGGGGAACGTGCGTTGGGCAGTGTGGGCCACCGAGGCAAGGTTGCGTGGCGGTCCATCTATCATGCCCCCAAAGCGTCTCAGCTGGCCCGTCATGTGGGTGAGTTGTTGAGCGTTCTTGGCGTGGGCCATGTTGTAAAGCTGTATGAGCATGATAAATGGGGTGTTCGGCACACCAGCGGCGACTGGCAGGAGGAAGCTGCGCACCTCGTGGCCGATCATGAGTTGACAAGCTCGCTGCGCCAGGTTGCAGGGGACGCCGAATCTCATCAGGAAGTTCCCGGTGCCATCCTGCAGCAGTCGGTCGATGTTCATCCGAGCCGATGCTGCCGAGGTGCGCTCCTCTTCGCCCAGCTGGCCCCATATTTCGGCCAAGCTGCGCGTTTGGAATGACATCGGTGGCACTGGGTTGCTGTTGATGATTCCCCCCTGCGTCAGGACAACTGGCGGGTACTATTCCCAAGCTCGCGCGGCATGCCGGTAATGCGCGACGAGGCGCAGGCCGCCTGGCGAAACTCGTCGAAGTCGGAGTTCGACACTGACCAGATCATCACCTCGCGCACCCATTCATGGAAAAGGCCCGCGAGCCTGGTGCCCGGGCTACCAGATGCGGAGGTGGCGCATGTTGCCGCTGCCCAGGAGGCCGGGGATACTCGAGCTGCGTTGCATGAGTCGCCGAAGATACTAGCCCCGAACGTGCTCTCCTCGTCAGCGTCTTGGGCGTCGGCTTTTGTCGTGTCACTGTGGTGCTCGCGGTGCTCGGACCATCCCGCGACACAATCACGGGAATGCTCTTCGTACGTGTCGTGGTCACTGGATTGAGCACCTCCAGATGCACGATCGTCTAATGGTAAGCGCATCGGGTTCCTGTCCTGCCCTGCTGGGGGATCACGAATCGGAGTCGGTAAAGCGAAGGGTTGGGTCTCGAGGTGTGGTGCCTCGGAATGGTGGCGCCCCAGTCGTCATGCCATCCACTGCGTAACCTCGGCGTTGAGAACGCAATTCCAAAACTCCCCAGTGCGTCCCCGCCCGACACCGGCGACGCGGTCGCCAGATCCCTCTTTTCTGCTTGTTTCGCCCAGGGCTCTCGAGACACAGTCCCTCCCAAGAAATTCAAAGCCTTGTTCGTACACCGCAAATGTGACCGTTGCGTCGAAAAACTATCTCACACCTGAGGCTACCCCAGCGGGCGGGGGCACTGATAGCTGGGGGTCCACGAGCTGCCTGGACTCAGTCCGAACAAGCCCAGGACAGGTCGCTGAGCGGCCTCTGTAGATTTTGGTGATGTTGTCTTTGAGGAAATACTGGTTGTGCATGTTTTCGGTCACTGGTCCTGGCGGATGCGCGGATGCCCCGACGGACCTTCGAGCAACGTCTCCTGTCACAGTGAGCGGGAAGCGTTGCACGAAGGCGGAAGTGTTGAAGGCGGCGTGCACGCTCCCAGTCGCGAGTCCTAGCGGATGGGCTGGTACAGCCCCGACGGACCCTAAAGTAGCGTCTCCTGTCTGAGAAAAGGCGGAGAAATGCTCGAAGGCGTAGATGTTAAAGGCGGTCGACCGAAGTCGAAGGCGGCGGAGGGCAGCAACCATTATGGCCGACACGAAACGAGGCACGGCGGCAATGTTGGGAGCGGGGGTGAACCTGCTCTGCTACCTGCTAGAAATGGAGATGTAAGAAGAAACTATGTTCACAGTAAAGGAAGTACAGCGTATGATGGTCTAAGGCGGAATGACTGAAGCGCGTCTAAGGCGGGCACGGTGCACTGATCAAGCCTTGGGCCAAGACAGTGCAGCGGGCCAGCGAAGGTGAGAAACAGGCCACTGGACAAGGAGCTACCGTTCGAGCAACAAGAGGAGGAGGAGGAGGAGGAGGAGGAGGAGGAGGAGGACGAGGAGGAGGAAAGTGAAGTCGTCGCTATCATCGTCGTCAGTGCCGCGCCGGCCGACTACGCGGACTCGCTCTTGCACGCCGAAACTCATAGACAGAGATCCTCAGCGATACGCGATACGTGTCAGGAAAATGAGATATGCATATGGGGAGATCCGCGTCGAGTAATCATCCCGAGTCGCTCTTGTTGACGGCCCCGAGGCCCAGCAGGGGCCCTCAGAGGCTGAACATCGCGAGAAACTTCTGCCCATGAGTTTTTCGTGACTCGAGGGGCTCTGGGCCACATGTAGTTCGGCATCGAGTGGCACGCTGCCTGCCCCGGCGCCCCTGCGCAACGCCGCGCCGCGCCCCCTATCCTGCGCCGCGAGGCGACCGGCGCTGGCCACCTCCTGGGGGGCGCCAGCCTGGCAGGCCCCAGGCCGAAGACGACGACGACACCCGAATCCCTCGGGGTCGCTCTGCCCTCGGCGCAGCGCGGGTGTCCCACCAGCAGGGAATCGGGTGTGCGCTGCACCCACGGGCGCTGCCCAGGGCGAGAAGCTCTCCGCCGACGGCAGGGAGTGACTGGCGGTCGCGAAGGACGAGCTGGACAAAGCCCGCCCGTCCTCCTTCTGTCTGTCCTCCTGACCTCCTCCGCCTCCTGCTCGTGCTCCTGCTGCTCCTCCACCTCTCGTTATTTCTCCTCCTGCTCCTCCTTCTCCTGCTCCTCCTCCTCCTCCTCCTCCTCCTGCTGCTGCTCCTCCTCCTGGACAAGGTCCGCACGTCCTCCTCCTCCTCCTCCTCCTCCTCCTCCTCCTTATCATCGTCATCATCATAATCCTCCTCCTCCTCCTCCTCCTCCTCCTCCTC